TGTGCTGCACAATCCCTTTTAAATGTTGCGTTTTTCGTTTTGTTCAGCTAGCGGTTAGAGTTAATTTAGCATGCGCTGAGCTCAGCTAGCAAGAAACTAATGATTTTTTGTTGGTTTCACTTTTTTTTGTTTTATTTGTTTGAATTTCTTTTTATTTTTTTTTTTTTAGATTTTTGCTCCGCCCGAAAAATAAAATTTTTTTTTTATTTGATTCGTTCACTTCTGCTTGTTTGTCTTCTGCAAGTGTGCTGCACAATCCCTTTTAAATGTTGCGTTTTTCGTTTTGTTCGGCTAGCGGTTAGAATTAATTTAGCGTGCGCTGAGCTCAGCTAGCAAGAAGCAAATGATTTTTTGTTGGTTTCACTTCTGGCCGCCGTCCGTAGCCACTCTTTACTCGCTACTCAAACTCCGGGCATGGCGCGCACACACAAACACACATACATATACATACATTGTCATTGTCCAGCTGTACATGTATTGTGGCGCCGGTTGCGTAAACTCTTCTGATTTTCTACTCACTGCATTGTTAAGCCTGTATGCGTTTGCTCATCTGCTCTCCTGCTTCTGCTTCCTTGTACATCTATTAGCGTTTTTCCTCTGTCTCTCTCTTCTGCTCCCTTATGCATGCTGTATGTTGCGTTTTTCGTTTTGTTCGGCTAGCGGTTAGAATTAATTTAGCGTGCGCTGAGCTCAGCTAGCAAGAAGCAAATGATTTTTTGTTGGTTTCACTTCTGGCCGCCGTCCGTAGCCACTCTTTACTCGCTACTCAAACTTCGGGCATGGCGCGCACACACAAACACACATACATACACATATACATAAACATACATTGTCATTGTCCAGTTGTACATGTATTGTGGCGTCGGTTGCGTAAACTCTTCTGAATTTCTACTCACTGCATTGTTAAGCCTGTATGCGTTTGCTCATCTGCTCTCCTGCTTCTGCTGCCTTGTACATCTATTAGCGTTTTTCCTCTCTGTCTCTCTCTTCTGCTCCCTTATGCATGCTGTTCCGCCAGCATGCTTAAGCTCTTCAGCACTTCTGCTTTTTCGTCTTCTGCAAGTGTGCTGGACAATCCCTTTTTTAATGTTGCGTTTTTCGTTTTGTTCGGCTAGCGGTAAGAATTAATTTAGCGTGCGCTGAGCTCAGCTAGCAAGAAACAAATGAATTTTTGGTGGTTTCAGTTCTGGCAGCCGCCCGTATCCACTCTTTACATGCGACCCAAACCTCTTGCATGGCTTCCTGAAATAAAAATTACAAAAAAACGCACTTAGATAAATCCTCACACAAGCACACATACATACACTATACATATACATACACTGTCATTGTCCAGCTGTACATGTATGGTTGCGCCTGCTGCATAAACTCTGCTACATTGTACATGTATTAGCATAGTGCTGCCTGGATGTGCAAGCTCCACTGCTGACTGCATAGTGACTGGTGCAACTGCCATAACTTAGTAGAGAGCGCGAGAGAGTAAGCAAGAAACAAATGAATTTTTGGTGGTTTCAGTTCTGGCAGCCACCCGTATCCACTCTTTACATGGAACCCAAACCTCTTGCATGGCTTTCTGAAATAAAAATTACAAAAAAACGCACTTAGATAAATCCTCACACAAACACACATACATACACATATACATATACATACATTGTCATTGTCCAGCTGTACATGTATTGTGGCGCCGGTTGCGTAAACTCTTCTGATTTTCTACTCACTGCATTGTTAAGCCTGTATGCGTTTGCCCATCTGCTCTCCTGCTTCTGCTTCCTTGTACATCTATTAGCGTTTTTCCTCTCTGTCTCTCTCTTCTGCTCCCTTATGCATGCTGTTCCGCCACCATGCTTAAGCTCTTCAGCACTTCTGCTTTTTCGTCTTCTGCAAGTGTGCTGCACAATCCCTTTTAAATGTTGCGTTTTTCGTTTTGTTCAGCTAGCGGTTAGAATTAATTTAGCATGCGCTGAGCTCAGCTAGCAAGAAACTAATGATTTTTTGTTGGTTTCACTTTTTTTTGTTTTATTTGTTTGAATTTCTTTTTATTTTTTTTTTTTTAGATTTTTGCTCCGCCCGAAAAATAAAATTTTTTTTTTATTTGATTCGTTCACTTCTGCTTGTTTGTCTTCTGCAAGTGTGCTGCACAATCCCTTTTAAATGTTGCGTTTTTCGTTTTGTTCGGCTAGCGGTTAGAATTAATTTAGCGTGCGCTGAGCTCAGCTAGCAAGAAGCAAATGATTTTTTGTTGGTTTCACTTCTGGCCGCCGTCCGTAGCCACTCTTTACTCGCTACTCAAACTCCGGGCATGGCGCGCACACACAAACACACATACATATGCATACATTGTCATTGTCCAGCTGTACATGTATTGTGGCGCCGGTTGCGTAAACTCTTCTGATTTTCTACTCACTGCATTGTTAAGCCTGTATGCGTTTGCTCATCTGCTCTCCTGCTTCTGCTTCCTTGTACATCTATTAGCGTTTTTCCTCTGTCTCTCTCTTCTGCTCCCTTATGCATGCTGTATGTTGCGTTTTTCGTTTTGTTCGGCTAGCGGTTAGAATTAATTTAGCGTGCGCTGAGCTCAGCTAGCAAGAAGCAAATGATTTTTTGTTGGTTTCACTTCTGGCCGCCGTCCGTAGCCACTCTTTACTCGCTACTCAAACTTCGGGCATGGCGCGCACACACAAACACACATACATACACATATACATAAACATACATTGTCATTGTCCAGTTGTACATGTATTGTGGCGTCGGTTGCGTAAACTCTTCTGAATTTCTACTCACTGCATTGTTAAGCCTGTATGCGTTTGCTCATCTGCTCTCCTGCTTCTGCTGCCTTGTACATCTATTAGCGTTTTTCCTCTCTGTCTCTCTCTTCTGCTCCCTTATGCATGCTGTTCCGCCAGCATGCTTAAGCTCTTCAGCACTTCTGCTCTTTCGTCTTCTGCAAGTGTGCTGGACAATCCCTTTTTTAATGTTGCGTTTTTCGTTTTGTTCGGCTAGCGGTAAGAATTAATTTAGCGTGCGCTGAGCTCAGCTAGCAAGAAACAAATGAATTTTTGGTGGTTTCAGTTCTGGCAGCCGCCCGTATCCACTCTTTATATGCAACCCAAACCTCTTGCATGGCTTCCTGAAATAAAAATTACAAAAAAACGCACATAGATAAATCCTCACACAAGCACACATACATACACTATACATATACATACACTGTCATTGTCCAACTGTACATGTATGGTTGCGCTTGCTGCGTAAACTCTGCTACATTGTACTTGTATTAGCATAGTGCTGCCTGGATGTGCAAGTTCCACTGCTGACTGTATAGTAACTGGTGCAACTGCCATAACTTAGTAGAGAGCGCGAGAGAGTAAGCAAGAAACAAATGAATTTTTGGTGGTTTCAGTTCTGGCAGCCACCCGTATCCACACTTTACATGGAACCCAAACCTCTTGCATGGCTTTCTGAAATAAAAATTACAAAAAAACGCACTTAGATAAATCCTCACACAAACACACATACATACACATATACATATACATACATTGTCATTGTCCAGCTGTACATGTATTGTGGCGCCGGTTGCGTAAACTCTTCTGATTTTCTACTCACTGCATTGTTAAGCCTGTATGCGTTTGCTCATCTGCTTCTGCTTCCTTGTACATCTATTAGCGTTTTTCCTCTCTGTCTCTCTCTTCTGCTCCCTTATGCATGCTGTTCCGCCACCATGCTTAAGCTCTTCAGCACTTCTGCTTTTTCGTCTTCTGCAAGTGTGCTGCACAATCCCTTTTAAATGTTGCGTTTTTCGTTTTGTTCAGCTAGCGGTTAGAATTAATTTAGCATGCGCTGAGCTCAGCTAGCAAGAAACTAATGATTTTTTGTTGGTTTCACTTTTTTTTGTTTTATTTGTTTGAATTTCTTTTTATTTTTTTTTTTTAGATTTTTGCTCCGCCCGAAAAATAAAATTTTTTTTTTATTTGATTCGTTCACTTCTGCTTGTTTGTCTTCTGCAAGTGTGCTGCACAATCCCTTTTAAATGTTGCGTTTTTCGTTTTGTTCGGCTAGCGGTTAGAATTAATTTAGCGTGCGCTGAGCTCAGCTAGCAAGAAGCAAATGATTTTTTGTTGGTTTCACTTCTGGCCGCCGTCCGTAGCCACTCTTTACTCGCTACTCAAACTCCGGGCATGGCGCGCACACACAAACACACATACATATACATACATTGTCATTGTCCAGCTGTACATGTATTGTGGCGCCGGTTGCGTAAACTCTTCTGATTTTCTACTCACTGCATTGTTAAGCCTGTATGCGTTTGCTCATCTGCTCTCCTGCTTCTGCTTCCTTGTACATCTATTAGCGTTTTTCCTCTGTCTCTCTCTTCTGCTCCCTTATGCATGCTGTATGTTGCGTTTTTCGTTTTGTTCGGCTAGCGGTTAGAATTAATTTAGCGTGCGCTGAGCTCAGCTAGCAAGAAGCAAATGATTTTTTGTTGGTTTCACTTCTGGCCGCCGTCCGTAGCCACTCTTTACTCGCTACTCAAACTTCGGGCATGGCGCGCACACACAAACACACATACATACACATATACATAAACATACATTGTCATTGTCCAGTTGTACATGTATTGTGGCGTCGGTTGCGTAAACTCTTCTGAATTTCTACTCACTGCATTGTTAAGCCTGTATGCGTTTGCTCATCTGCTCTCCTGCTTCTGCTGCCTTGTACATCTATTAGCGTTTTTCCTCTCTGTCTCTCTCTTCTGCTCCCTTATGCATGCTGTTCCGCCAGCATGCTTAAGCTCTTCCGCACTTCTGCTTTTTCGTCTACTGCAGCAAGTGTGCTGCACAATCCCTTTAAAATGTTGCGTTTTTCGTTTTGTTCGGCTAGCGGTAAGAATTAATTTAGCGTGCGCTGAGCTCAGCTAGCAAGAAACAAATGAATTTTTGGTGGTTTCAGTTCTGGCAGCCGCCCGTATCCACTCTTTATATGCAACCCAAACCTCTTGCATGGCTTCCTGAAATAAAAATTACAAAAAAACGCACATAGATAAATCCTCACACAAGCACACATACATACACTATACATATACATACACTGTCATTGTCCAGCTGTACATGTATGGTTGCGCTTGCTGCGTAAACTCTGCTACATTGTACTTGTATTAGCATAGTGCTGCCTGGATGTGCAAGTTCCACTGCTGACTGTATAGTAACTGGTGCAACTGCCATAACTTAGTAGAGAGCGCGAGAGAGTAAGCAAGAAACAAATGAATTTTTGGTGGTTTCAGTTCTGGCAGCCACCCGTATCCACACTTTATATGGAACCCAAACCTCTTGCATGGCTTTCTGAAATAAAAATTACAAAAAAACGCACTTAGATAAATCCTCACACAAACACACATACATACACATATACATATACATACATTGTCATTGTCCAGCTGTACATGTATTGTGGCGCCGGTTGCGTAAACTCTTCTGATTTTCTACTCACTGCATTGTTAAGCCTGTATGCGTTTGCTCATCTGCTTCTGCTTCCTTGTACATCTATTAGCGTTTTTCCTCTCTGTCTCTCTCTTCTGCTCCCTTATGCATGCTGTTCCGCCACCATGCTTAAGCTCTTCAGCACTTCTGCTTTTTCGTCTTCTGCAAGTGTGCTGCACAATCCCTTTTAAATGTTGCGTTTTTCGTTTTGTTCAGCTAGCGGTTAGAATTAATTTAGCATGCGCTGAGCTCAGCTAGCAAGAAACTAATGATTTTTTGTTGGTTTCACTTTTTTTTGTTTTATTTGTTTGAATTTCTTTTTATTTTTTTTTTTTTAGATTTTTGCTCCGCCCGAAAAATAAAATTTTTTATTTGATTCGATCACTTCTGCTTGTTTGTCTTCTGCAAGTGTACTGCACAATCCCTTTTAAATGTTGCGTTTTTCGTTTTGTTCGGCTAGCGGTTAGAATTAATTTAGCGTGCGCTGAGCTCAGCTAGCAAGAAGCAAATGATTTTTTGTTGGTTTCACTTCTGGCCGCCGTCCGTAGCCACTCTTTACTCGCTACTCAAACTTCGGGCATGGCGCGCACACACAAACACACATACATATACATACATTGTCATTGTCCAGCTGTACATGTATTGTGGCGCCGGTTGCGTAAACTCTTCTGATTTTCTACTCACTGCATTGTTAAGCCTGTATGCGTTTGCTCATCTGCTCTCCTGCTTCTGCTTCCTTGTACATCTATTAGCGCTTTTCCTCTGTCTCTCTCTTCTGCTCCCTTATGCATGCTGTTCCGCCACCATGCTTAAGCTCTTCAGCACTTCTGCTTTTTCGTCTTCTGCAAGTGTACTGCACAATCCCTTTTAAATGTTGCGTTTTTCGTTTTGTTCGGCTAGCGGTTAGAATTAATTTAGCGTGCGCTGAGCTCAGCTAGCAAGAAACTAATGATTTTTTGTTGGTTTCACTTCTGGCCGCCGCCCGTAGCCACTCTTTACTCGCTACTCAAACTTCGGGCATGGCGCGCACACACAAACACACATACATACACATATACATATACATACATTGTCATTGTCCAGTTGTACATGTATTGTGGCGCCGGTTGCGTAAACTCTTCTGAATTTCTACTCACTGCATTGTTAAGCCTGTATGCGTTTGCTCATCTGCTCTCCTGCTTCTGCTGCCTTGTACATCTATTAGCGTTTTTCCTCTCTGTCTCTCTCTTCTGCTCCCTTATGCATGCTGTTCCGCCAGCATGCTTAAGCTCTTCCGCACTTCTGCTTTTTCGTCTACTGCAAGTGTGCTGGACAATCCCTTTTTTAATGTTGCGTTTTTCGTTTTGTTCGGCTAGCGGTAAGAATTAATTTAGCGTGCGCTGAGCTCAGCTAGCAAGAAACAAATGAATTTTTGGTGGTTTCAGTTCTGGCAGCCGCCCGTATCCACTCTTTATATGCAACCCAAACCTCTTGCATGGCTTCCTAAAATAAAAATTACAAAAAACGCACTTATATAAATCCTCACAGAAACACACATACATACACTATACATATACATACATTGTCATTGTCCAGCTGTACATATATGGTTGCGCCTGCTGCGTAAGCTCTGCACCATTGTACATGTTGTGTAAGCTCCACTGCTGACTGCATAGTGAATGGTTCAACTGAAACAAATGAATTTTTGGTGGTTTCAGTTCTGGCAGCCGCCCGTATCCACTCTTTATATGCAACCCAAACCTCTTGCATGGCTTCCTGAAATAAAAATTACAAAAAACGCACTTAGATAAATCCTCACACAAACACACATACATACACTATACATATACATACATTGTCATTGTCCAGCTGTACATGTGTGGTTGCGCCTGCTGCGTAAACTCTGCTCCATTGTACATGTATTAGCATTGCGCCGCCTGGATGTGTAGGCTCCACTGCTGACTGCATAGTGAATGGTTCAACTGAAACAAATGAATTTTTGTTGGTTTCAGTTCTGGCAGCCGCCCGTATCCACTCTTTATATGCAACCCAAACCTCTTGCATGGCTTCCTGAAATAAAAATTACAAAAAACGCACTTAGATAAATCCTCACACAAACACACATTCATACACTATACATATACATACATTGTCATTGTCCAGCTGTACATGTAGGGTTGCGCCTGCTGCGTAAACTCTGCTCCATTCTACATGTATTAGCATTGTGCTGCCTGGATGAGTAAGCTCCACTGCTGACTGCAAAGTGACTGGTGCACCTGCCATAACTTAGTAGAAAGCGCGAGAGAGTAAGCAAGAAACAAATGAATTTTTGGTGGTTTCAGTTCTGGCAGCCGCCCGTATCCACTCTTTATATGCAACCTAAACCTCTTGCATGGCTTCTTGAAATAAAAATTACAAAAAACGCACTTAGATAAATCCTCACACAAACACACATACATACACATATACATATACATACATTGTCATTGTCCAGCTGTACATATATGGTTGCGCCTGCTGCGTAAGCTCTGCTCCATTGTACATGTTGTGTAAGCTCCACTGCTGACTGCATAGTGAATGGTTCAACTGAAACAAATGAATTTTTGGTGGTTTCAGTTCTGGCAGCCGCCCGTATCCACTCTTTATATGCAACCCAAACCTCTTGCATGGCTTCCTGAAATAAAAATTACAAAAAACGCACTTAGATAAATCCTCACACAAACACACATACATACACTATACATATACATACATTGTCATTGTCCAGCTGTACATGTATGGTTGCGCCTGCTGCGTAAACTCTGCTCCATTGTACATGTATTAGCATTGCGCCGCCTGGATGTGTAGGCTCCACTGCTGACTGCATAGTGAATGGTTCAACTGAAACAAATGAATTTTTGTTGGTTTCAGTTCTGGCAGCCGCCCGTATCCACTCTTTATATGCAACCCAAACCTCTTGCATGGCTTCCTGAAATAAAAATTACAAAAAACGCACTTAGATAAATCCTCACACAAACACACATACATACACTATACATATACATACATTGTCATTGTCCAGCTGTACATGTAGGGTTGCGCCTGCTGCGTAAACTCTGCTCCATTTTACATGTATTAGCATTGTGCTGCCTGGATGAGTAAGCTCCACTGCTGACTGCAAAGTGACTGGTGCACCTGCCATAACTTAGTAGAAAGCGCGAGAGAGTAAGCAAGAAACAAATGAATTTTTGGTGGATTCAGTTCTGGCAGCCGCCCGTATCCACTCTTTATATGCAACCCAAACCTCTTGCATGGCTTCCTGAAATAAAAATTACAAAAAAACGCACTTAGATAAATCCTCACACAAACACACATACATACACATATACATATACATACATTGTCATTGTCCAGCTGTACATGTTTTTGGTGGTTTCAGTTCTGGCAGCCGCCCGTATCCACTCTTTATATGCAACCCAAACCTTTTGCATGGCTTCTTGAAATAAAAATTACAAAAAACGCACTTAGATAAATCCTCACACAAACACACATACATACACATATACATACATTGTCATTGTCCAGCTGTACATGTACGGTTGCGCCTGCTGCGTAAACTCTGCTCCATTGTACATGTATTAGCATTGCGCCGCCTGGATGTGTACGCTCCACTGCTGACTGCATAGTGACTGGTTCAACTGAAATAAACGAATTTTTGGTGGTTTCAGTTCTGGCAGCCGCCCGTATCCACTCTTTATATGCAACCCAAACCTCTTGCATGGCTTCCTGAAATAAAAATTACAAAAAAACGCACTTAGATAAATCCTCACACAAGCACACATACATACACTATATATATACATACACTGTCATTGTCCAGCTGTACATGTATGGTTGCGCCTGCTGCGTAAACTCTGCTCCATTGTACATGTATTAGCATTGCGCCGCCTGGATGTGTAAGCTCCACTGCTGACTGCATAGTGACTGGTGCAACTGCCATAACTTAGTAGAGAGCGCGAGAGAGTAAGCAAGAAACAAATGAATTTTTGGTGGTTTCAGTTCTGGCAGCCGCCCGCATCCACTCTTTATATGCAACCCAAACCTCTTGCATGGCTTCCTGAAATAAAAATTACAAAAAACGCACTTAGATAAATCCTCACACAAACACACATACATACACATATACATATACATACATTGTCATTGTCCAGCTGTACATGTTTTTGGTGGTTTCAGTTCTGGCAGCCGCCCGTATCCACTCTTTATATGCAACTCAAACCTTTTGCATGGCTTCTTGAAATAAAAATTACAAAAAACGCACTTAGATAAATCCTCACACAAACACACATACATACACTATACATATACATACATTGTCATTGTCCAGCTGTACATGTACGGTTGCGCCTGCTGCGTAAACTCTGCTCCATTGTACATGTATTAGCATTGCGCCGCCTGGATGTGTACGCTCCACTGCTGACTGCATAGTGACTGGTTCAACTGAAATAAACGAATTTTTGGTGGTTTCAGTTCTGGCAATCGCCCGTATCCACTCTTTACATGGAACCCAAACCTCTTGCATGGCTTTCTGAAATAAAAATTACAAAAAAACGCACTTAGATAAATCCTCACACAAACACACATACATACACATATACATATACATACATTGTCATTGTCCAGTTGTACATGTATTGTGGCGCCGGTTGCGTAAACTCTTCTGATTTTCTACTCACTGCATTGTTAAGCCTATATGCGTTTGCTCATCTGCTCTCCTGCTTCTGCTTCCTTGTAAATCTATTAGCGTTTTTCCTCTCTGTCTCTCTCTTCTGCTCCCTTATGCATGCTGTTCCGCCAGCATGCTTAAGCTCTTCAGCACTTCTGCTTTTTCGTCTTCTGCAAGTGTGCTGGACAATCCCTTTTTTAATGTTGCGTTTTTCGTTTTGTTCGGCTAGCGGTTAGAATTAATTTAGCGTGCGCTGAGCTCAGCTAGCAAGAAGCAAATGATTTTTTGTTGGTTTCACTTCTGGCCGCCGTCCGTAGCCACTCTTTACTCGCTACTCAAACTCCGGGCATGGCGCGCACACACAAACACACATACATATACATACATTGTCATTGTCCAGCTGTACATGTATTGTGGCGCCGGTTGCGTAAACTCTTCTGATTTTCTACTCACTGCATTGTTAAGCCTGTATGCGTTTGCTCATCTGCTCTCCTGCTTCTGCTTCCTTGTACATCTATTAGCGTTTTTCCTCTGTCTCTCTCTTCTGCTCCCTTATGCATGCTGTATGTTGCGTTTTTCGTTTTGTTCGGCTAGCGGTTAGAATTAATTTAGCGTGCGCTGAGCTCAGCTAGCAAGAAGCAAATGATTTTTTGTTGGTTTCACTTCTGGCCGCCGTCCGTAGCCACTCTTTACTCGCTACTCAAACTTCGGGCATGGCGCGCACACACAAACACACATACATACACATATACATATACATACATTGTCATTGTCCAGCTGTACATGTATTGTGGCGCCGGTTGCGTAAACTCTTCTGATTTTCTACTCACTGCATTGTTAAGCCTGTATGCGTTTGCTCATCTGCTCTCCTGCTTCTGCTTCCTTGTACATCTATTAGCGTTTTTCCTCTGTCTCTCTCTTCTGCTCCCTTATGCATGCTGTATGTTGCGTTTTTCGTTTTGTTCGGCTAGCAGTTAGAATTAATTTAGCGTGCGCTGAGCTCAGCTAGCAAGAAGCAAATGATTTTTTGTTGGTTTCACTTCTGGCCGCCGTCCGTAGCCACTCTTTACTCGCTACTCAAACTTCGGGCATGGCGCGCACACACAAACACACATACATACACATATACATAAACATACATTGTCATTGTCCAGTTGTACATGTATTGTGGCGTCGGTTGCGTAAACTCTTCTGAATTTCTACTCACTGCATTGTTAAGCCTGTATGCGTTTGCTCATCTGCTCTCCTGCTTCTGCTGCCTTGTACATCTATTAGCGTTTTTCCTCTCTGTCTCTCTCTTCTGCTCCCTTATGCATGCTGTTCCGCCAGCATGCTTAAGCTCTTCAGCACTTCTGCTTTTTCGTCTTCTGCAAGTGTGCTGGACAATCCCTTTTTTAATGTTGCGTTTTTCGTTTTGTTCGGCTAGCGGTAAGAATTAATTTAGCGTGCGCTGAGCTCAGCTAGCAAGAAACAAATGAATTTTTGGTGGTTTCAGTTCTGGCAGCCGCCCGTATCCACTCTTTATATGCAACCCAAACCTCTTGCATGGCTTCCTGAAATAAAAATTACAAAAAAACGCACTTAGATAAATCCTCACACAAGCACACATACATACACTATACATATACATACACTGTCATTGTCCAGCTGTACATGTATGGTTGCGCTTGCTGCGTAAACTCTGCTACATTGTACTTGTATTAGCATA